GACGCCGACTTCGAAAACAAGCCCATGATCCTGCTGGTGGGCCAGTACAGCACCGGGAAGACCACCTTCATCAGGTACGGAAGCACCCGCCTCCCACCGCGTCCTCCGGGCTCCCCGGGCGCGGCCTCTTAGCCTGGCCGGCCAGCCCCACTCGGGTTAGCCCCTCGGCTGGCGTCTCCGAGGCCCCTCTCCTGGCCGCTGTCCCCCACACTGTCCTGGGCCCTGGAAGGGGGACAGCGAGGATGTCATCAGCGTCTCCTGGAGAGGGGCGGTGCCTAGGACTGGAGGGGGCTGGGGTGAACGCGGCGGGATGAATGAATGAGTGCAAGTAGAGGGCGTCGCTCCAGCTCCCTGCCCTGAGGTCGGTGCCACCTCCCCAGTGTCCACCTCGTCCACAGCTCCGTCTTTACCATCCGTTCCTAGGAAGTTAGCAGAGTGCAGCCACACCAGCCTGTGGAACTAAGGGGAGTGTCGTGTTACTATTTGTTAGTTTCCAATTCTTTCATTTCCTCCTCCCTCACCCTTGACAGCTGAAAATATTCGTCGTGGCTGTGTCCCCGGAAGCAATTACTTTACTCACCCTGCGGCTCAAATCATATAGCTTTCTCTGAAGTGACTTTTGATGAGAAATAATTTACATGGATTTTTTTTTTAAACAAGCTGTTTATTTTAAAGCAGCCATGGTATTAAAGCTCTCTTCCTTTGATAAGGAGACCTGGTTTTCTGGGTTATGACCCCTTATCGGTTGAAACAAAGCACTGACCATTTAAGATTTGGGTGTGGGGTTTTGAAAATTCTAACAGTTTCTTGGTCATCTGATGTTCAACAGGTGTTCAGAAATCTGCCTCTATATTTGGATACATGCCATTTCTGTTAAGTAGTGACCTCTTTTTTTCTTCATTCCAGTGACCTAAATAGTTCCTGCAAATAGAGTGCAGTAGTTGTCACTGAAGGAAATATGTTAAATCCAGGCCTGTAGATACACTGTGGATGAATTTAGCAAAGCAGATATACTGTGTACTGAAATGTAATGCTAGACAGAATGTTGAATGTGAAGGAAGACCAAAGAAAACGCTCTAAAATTGTCTTATTTGGCTACTATTAATAAGCTGAAAATAGCATCAAACACATCACCAAGGACACTCGAAAATGAACTGTAGCTACATTGCCATAACTGTCTCCTCAAAAATACCAGTTTTTAGTACTGGGATAATATAAAGCCTTACAACTAAATGGTACAAGAGTGGGTGGAGATTTTAAGCATACAATAAATAAGAACATGCATCGTTATAATTTAGAGATGACATGTTTGCAGCACCCGGGGCACTTCCTCTTGCTTTCTTTGCCGGGAAGGCCTCCTTCTGTCTGTGTGTAATTAGGGAGTCCCTCCTGGAAGCTGTGACAGCCTGGGGTCAGTTTGGCCTTCTCTGTCCATATGTAGCCCAAGATAGAAGAACACAGTTCAACTCATAGCAATCTTTTTTTTTTCCCCCTCACTCTTCTCTATTCTATTGTTTGGGGAAAAGTTTTGTGGAGTCACTAAACGTAGTTTTAAGATGAGCCCTAAGGTTTGATTCCTGGTGACTGATCCAAATTGACCACTTATCAGTGGGTGCTGAAACCATTTATACCCCCAAGGGTGCAAAGAAAGTTTGTGTAGACAGGAAACAGAAGTGATTAGTCCCTGGGAGAAAAGTCCCAAATGAAAGGGCAGCTGTCCTGAAGATTTGGGCCCTTGGAGTGGAGAGCAGGGTGCCAGCCATCCTGGAGCCCTGGCTTAGTTAGAGCCTGCTTAGCCCATGTTTGCCTGGGAGTGGCAGGGTGCCTCCAGCAGTCACAGATTCTTATCCACGTAGTTCCCTGCATATCTCAAGAGGTCACTGACAACACAGGTCCTGCACTAGCAGGGGAGGGAACTATTTGCAAAGCCACTCAGCAAAGCCATTGGTGACAAGTGGAGCAGGTGAGTGGGCCCTCCTGCGAATCATAGCACTGGTCCAGAAGAAGGCTTGAGGTGGTGGAGATATCTGTCAGTGTCTTTGCAGTAAACACAAATGGCTGAAGGCCCTGTTTTATTTCCCATTAGATAGGATGAGTGATAAGAACTGGTGGCCAGCCCACCCCTGACTTTCAGGGAAGAAGAGACGGGTGCTGGGGAAAGTGACTGCGTCATCCTAGACTTTGTAAAGCCAAGGAGGGGTGTGTGTAGGCTCACCTAGGGTGCGCCCCTACCTCAAGAAAGACGATTTCAGAGATTTCCTCCAGAAAAATCTCTGAGTCCGGGAGCTATGAGGAAAGATATTCCCACTGAGAGTGGTGAGACCCAACTGAAATCAGTTTAAATTACACATTGCAACTTCTGGCTTTTAAGAGCCCTACTTTCTCGCTTCCTCCTACCTACTATGCCCTATCCTCTGCCCCCTAGAGTATTTATTCTAATGAGGAAAAAAGAGGGACACTGCTCAAGAAATTATGTAGGTTTTAAAAGGGCAGGGACCCGGGGCCATTAGGCAAATAGATTTTTTTTTTTTTTGGTACTGGGGATCAAACTTGGGTCCTTGTGCTTGCTTGCTTGTAGGCGGCGGAACCACTGAGCTAAATCCCTAGCCCGCAAATAGAATTTTTAAAAAATGCATCCAAATTAGAAAAAAAGTAAAACTCTTTGCTGATGATGCAATCTTATATAAAGAAAATGCTAATGAGGGGATTCTCCAAAACAAACAAGAACCTATCGGAAAAAACACATTTGGCGGTGTTGCAGGATACAAGATGAGTATACAAAAATCAGTTGCATTTTTACATATTGCCAATGAACAATCCCAAAGAGAAATTAACAAGATAACTCCATTTACAATAGCATCTAAAAGAATAAAATACCTAAAAATAAATTTAACAAAAGAAATGTAAGACTTCTTCATTCAACACTAAGAAACATTGTTGAAAGAAATTCATAGTAAATGAAAAATCATCCTGTGTCCATGGATCAGAAGACATTTTATAGTGGAAACACCTTCCACATTGGTTTACAGATTTGATAGGTTCAAGGATTGAACCCAGGGCTTTTGCATTGAGCTCCAGCCCCAGCGGCACCCCACCTTTTTTTTTTCCATCCCAGCCCTTTTTAAATTTTTTATTTTGAGCAGGATCACTAAATTGTTCAAATTACAAGTCAGACTTGTACTCCTCCTGCCTTGGTTTCCTGGAGTGCTGATACTACAGGCATGTGCCACCATGCCTGCCTCTACAGATGTCTATCAAAATTCTAGCTTTCCTGGTTTCTTTTTTTTTTTTTCCCCCCTCAAAAAACTGATTCAGGATTCCGGAACAGTCTTGAAAAAGAACAGTTTGGAGGACTTACATATTCTGTTTCAAAATTTACTGTGCTAGTGCAGTAAACAATGTAATGTGGTGCTGGTGTGAGGCACCCTGTGGTCTGGGGTTGGGGATATGTTTGTATTGTTGGAGGTACCCTTTAGGATAGGTGACCAAGTTGGGCATAGTGGTGCACGCCTGTAATCCCAGCACTCCAGGAGGCTGAGGCAGGAGGATCGCTGTGAGTTTGAGACCAGCCTGGGCTACATAGTGAGTTCCAGGTCAGTCTCAACTACACAGTGAGACCCTGTCTCAAAAAAAAAAAAAAAAGGTAAGTGACCTAAGATGTTTGGCTTAAAAACAATTTTTGGACCTTTGAATCTTGTTTCTTCATCTTAAGGTCGGGTCACTGCCCTTTACCTTAGGAATTTAGGCATGATAGGCCTGGAAGAAAAAACAGACAAGCCTGGGGAGTACAGATACAGGTAATCTCGGGTAAGTCATGGGTAACTTTGTGCCCTGCAGTTGTTGTTGTAAAAGTACAATTTTAAAATTATGATTTTTCTTGTCTCCTTTCTATCTATCTTTATTTCTTCTACCTCAGGTAGAAGAACACTAGGCAGCCTATTATTTATTTAATTTCCATAATTCTACAGTATGGCCAGTCAAATAATTTCCGCATCTATGTGCAATGATTTAAAAAGAAAAAATGGATGTCAGAGAGAAAAAGGAAAGTAGAACGGAGGTACAGGAACTAAAAGGTAAAGTGGGGGGAGGGAGTACAACTAGGCACCAAGTAGTTCTGTATGGTTTACCCCTGTGTTTGTCTGTGTGTGAACATGTTCAGTATTCATAGCTTGGTTAGATTGAGGTAGGATAAATATTTTCTTATAAAATGCTTGATTGCATAATTATGTTTCAGAACTCCAAGTATTAACATTTAAATATAGTAATGTAAGAAAAGGGGAAAAGACCTGCATGGAAAATACAAATGAGGCTTATGGACAATACAGAGGGTCAAGAATCTAGAGTAGGCTGAGAGGCCAGCGGTGCCTCGCATGGTAGCAGGGCCTTTTAAGGCAAGACTGGAACAAGACTGAGAATTGGGAAGTGAACCCACTGCTTGGGTTCCTGCTACGATATTAACAGAAAGCAGAAAGAAACTATTTGGCTGTTATTTTGCTTCCTTCTTTTCTTTCAAAGTAAACCTTCCTGGGCCAGGGAGTTAGCTCAGTGGTTCCACTACCTGCTGCCTCGAAAGCCCAAGGTCCTGAGTTCGAACTCTAGCACCAAGAAACAATCAAAGTAAAACTTCCATTGAAGGTAGAAGGGAGCCCAGCCCTGTACTAGGAGAGGTTAAAACCTGGAGAAAGGGGGTGGGGAGGAGGAGGAGAGCGCCCAGGGCCTGCCACAGGTGAGGGTAGGGAAGATAGGGGTACACTGGATAGAAAGAATTTGCAGCTAGGATCAAAGAACCCTCTGGTAAGGCTGAAGACATGATGTAGAATACAAAAAGTATCAGACAATTGGAAACAGGTGATGTCTTACTTTTCAGAAAAGGGAGCAAATGGATGCTAGGTAGGCACAAAGCGTGATTTCATTCCCTTAATAAACCTCTGGATACATACATTTTGGGGATTATTTGGGGTTTCTTGGTGGGAGCTATAGGGTCTCACTATGTAGCCCAGGCTGGCCTTGAACTCATAGAAATTCTCTTGCCTCAGCCTCCTAAGTGCTGGGATTGCAGACATGATCCGCCACA